TTGTTCATCAAAGTTTTGGGGCTTTGCTTATAGATCGTGTACATATTTTGTTAGATTTACATGTATTTCATTTTTGAGGTGTTTATGCAAATAGTATTGTTTTTAATTTAAAATTCCATTTGTTCATTGTTGGTATATAGGAAAGCAATTGCTTGTTGTGTGTTAACTTTGGGAGACAGTTTGGTGATTTCTTACAAAACATACTCTCACATATGATTCAGCAGTTGTGCTCCATGGTGTTTACTCAAACAAGTGGAAAACTCACGCTCACATAAAAACCTACACGGGATCTTTAGAGCAGCTCTGTTGATAATCGCCAAAACTTGGAAAGAACCAAGGATGCAAACTTGTTATAATCACTTGCTAGTTCCAGAAGTTATTTTGTTGATTCTTTAAGATTTTCTATATAGATGACCATGTCATACTTTTTGATTTCTGCCAACCTGATGTGTGTAAAATGGTATCTGCATTGATTTGAATATTTTGTTTATTATTGACCATTGTTTTCCTGTTTATAAGCTGTGTTCATTTTTCGGTTGGTTGTCTTTTGTTGCTGTTGTTGGGTTGTCCTTTTATTTTTGATATGCAGGAGGTAATTATAAATTCAGAATGGCTTTACTATTTCCAGTTTTCGGTTTGCATATATTTTCTCCTGATCTGTTGGGTTATCTTTTCAACTTTTTTATGGGGTATAAATTTTACATTTTAATGTGTTAAATCTATCTTTTCCCTGATGGGGTGTGTTCTTGATGTTTTATCTTAAAATATACTGCAGCCTGAGATCATAAGGAGACTCTTCTATGTTTTCTTTTGCCAGTTTTAAAATGTTGCCTCCTCATTAGGCTATTAGTTTCTCTGGCAGTGTGTGTATGTGTGTGTGTGGGGGGGGGGTGTGATCTAATTTTACTTTTATCTCAACATGGATAATGTTCTTTTTATGAATCACTGAATAGCCATTCTTTCTCACTGATCAGTAATATTACCTCTGTGATATGCATCAAATTTAGAGAAGGTCTTTATATAAAGGAAATGAGTCCTTTGTGATGGGTACAAATGACATTTTTCTTTCTTTTTCTTTTTACCACCTTTTAAAAAAATTATCTTGAAGATCTTTCTATATCAACACATAAAAAGTTCTCTCATACACACACACAGTATGTCAATGAATGTATATAACATGATTTATTTCAGTCAGTTAATTGATTAACATTGTTTATTTTTTTAAAACAACTTCATCAAACTTTTCCTAAAATGTATATTCTTGAGCATACACAGTTTCGTGCATTTGCTGAGACAAAGGGTACGCTAATTTAAACTTGTCGTAGTTTAGGCTAAATTGCCCTCCAAGGAAGTTTTAACAATTTGTATCCCTATCAGTACTCTATAGCCGTGCTTGGCTCTCCATTCTTTCCAATATAGGGTGTTATCAAGCTTTTGATTTTTGCCAATGTGGAGAAAAATGGTAGTAACTTACATTTCTTTGAGTATGAATGCCCTGAGTATCTTTTCATGTTTGAGCTATTTCTATGTTCTTTTCTATGAGCTGTTCACATCCTTTGACCACATTTTATTGGATTTTTGGTCTATTGATTTGTAGGTGCTCTTTGTCACTTGTTTTACAAGTGATATTTTTCTTTTTTATCTTTTTTTGCCATACAGGATATTTTTATTTTTATGTTGTTGATTTTACTTATTCTTTTATGACTTCTGCATTTTATATCATGCTGGTCATGTGAAAAATCTTCCAATATGGAGATTACAAAAGAATGTCTCCCTTTTTCCCTAGGAGTTTTAATATTTCTGTTTTGCTTTGTTTAATTTGTTATTGATCTGTAACTTTTTTATGTGTAAAGTGTGAGATCAGAACCCAAATTATTAATCTTTCCAGGTGGAAAAAATACCAATGAACCAAGTTAGGTCAATATCCTTTGCTGAGTGACCCGTCTTTTCTCTATTTGATGTTCAGAATCACTGGTATGGAACTGAAACAGGCAGACTGATTAAGAATTAGAATTTTTATTTTTTATTTTTAAAGTACATTTTATTGATTATGCTATTACGGCTGTCCCATTTTTTTCTCCCCTTTGTTCCCCTCCACCCTGCACCCCCCTCCCACCAGCATCCCCGCCCCCCTTAGTTCATGTCCATGGGTCATACATATAAGTTCTTTGGCTTCTCCATTTCCTATACTGTTCTTAACCTCCCCCTGCCTATTTTGTACATTACCATTTATGCTTCTTATTCCCTATACCTTCCCCCCATTCACCCTACCCTCTCCCTGCTGATAACCCTCCATGTGATCTCCATTTAAGAATTAGAATGTTTTAAAGGCAAGAATTATAGAAGACCAATGGATAAGAGAACTGAGGCTAATACGCCTTGATTGAATTTCCAGTCTCTTGGGGATTAGACGGAAAAGGAGTGGAGCCAGAAGGGAACTCATCGCTGAGCATGTGGAACAGATGGGAGGCTGGAGATCTGGCTAAGGTCAAAGTTGATAGGATAGGAGGTACAACTTGAGAATTAATACGTCACAGGTGGAGTAGGTCCAGGAAGTGAAAAAGTGCATTAGAAACATGGCAGTGGATTGCTGGCATGCTGTGAGGAGGCAAGCCACTACTAGAAGTAAGGATTCTGGAAAATACCAATGTATATGGCCTTTGAAGTCACCCATGACTATGATAGCTTGGGGCTGAAAGGAGGGCTGTTAGGCGCTAAAGCCTTGAGGGAATGAAGGGAACTGCCTAGGAATTCTGTAGATTAAGGCATTGGGAGAGTAAAGGGAGAGCATGAATCTTAAAGGAGTGTTTTGTTTTTTTTTTAATTTTGATTTTTGATTTTAGAGGGGAAGGAAAGGAGAAAGAGAGGGAAACATTGCTTGGCTGCCTTCCATATGCACCCTGACTGGGGACTAAACCAGCAGCCCAGGCGTGTGCCCTGACCAGAATTGAACTGGCAACCTTTCAGTTTGCGGGACGACACCCAAATGAGCCACACTAGCCAGAGCAAGGAGTTGTTTTTATATGAGGACGTTTAAGTAAAAATCTCAAAAATAGCAGAAGAGTTCTGCCTTTCTTGTCCATGGCTTGTGGTTCTTTGAGAGAAGAGCCTTTGCAAGGCCTTAGCAAAAAAAACAGTCAGGCTTTAATCCTGACCAGGTAACTCAGTTGGTTACAGCATCCTCCTGATGCCTCAAGGTTGTGGGTTCAATCCCCAGTCAGGGCACATACAAGAATCAATCAATGAATGCATGAGTAAGTGGAACAGTGAATTGATGTTTTTCCCTCTCTCTCAAGTCAGTGAGAAAAATCGTTTTAAAAGAAAATCCAGGATGCATTTAAGGCTTTATCTGTAATTAAAAAAATAAGGCTTTACACAAAGACTTCAGTAAATATTTATTGTGTTCAGAGGTTGTGCGAGGCACTTGCTGGGTGGATAAAGTCATGAACCAAAGAGATGAAGTCCTTCCCCTCATCAGGCTCACAGTCTGGTGTCCTGCGACATGGTCCACAGACCACCAGTAGCTGGGTAACTTGGCAAGCTTAGTAGAGGTGCATAATGTCAGGTTCCAGACGCAGATATCCTGAATTGTAACCAGCAGTTGAATGAGATCCCCAGGTGCCTTGTCTGCGCATTAAAGTTTGAGAAGCACTGAGTCAAGTTTTTACCCTCAACATGTTGGAAAGGGGTTATAGCCGTTTACCAGCATCTCCTCCCTCATGGCAGCCACTTCACCTCAAAGAGCCCCTGCCCCTTCTCCTTATAATTGACTTGAGAGAATCTGACACCAGCTTGACCAGGCTGCATTCTTTTCCTAGGTGTTTGAAAATGGTCAGGAAAGAGCGATCCAGTCTTCTGTTGGTTGGACCATCTAAGGAGTAAGCTCAAATAAGTGTTAGAGTGGGCCATATTCTAGAAAGCAGGAAACAAACGGAAGGCAAAGAGAACAATGAAACAAACATATGGAGAACAGCAGGAAGGGAGAGAAAATGCTTGCATTCCTGATAGCTTTCCTGTATCCCATCACTGTCCACTTTATCTTTATAATACACTCCCATATGGTTAAAGCTCCCATGATTTGGTTGTTATTATCTGGAACCAGAGTTCTGCCTTTTATAGCAGATAAGGGTGAATTCAGAAGGCTGAATGCAAAGAGAAAAAGGAGTCTTGCTTTATAAGTGTGTGTTGATGGAAGTTGTGGAGAGATTTGAGGGCCAGGAGCAGAGGTGGCCCACAGTATCATGGTAGCTCGCGGTGGACAGAGGGCGAGAGACCTCTTCCAGAGCTCACTGTCTACACCAGACACATGACAAGCAATTTTTGATCCCTCAAATTGTCTCATTGGATCCCTGCAACAATTCAACAAGGTGTTAGCCTTTACAGAGAAGGAGAGTAAACTTCAGGGAGCTCAAGTAACTTGTTCATGGCTGCCAGGAAGCGCAAGGCCACGGTGAATTGAACCCAGCTGTGCCAGACTCCAAAGATCTCCATCTTAACTCCTTAAGCGCCTAACCTCTGTCACAGGTGCTCCAGGCAGGTTACATAGCATACCGGTGGAACTTGTGTAAAAACAACCTGCCTCCCTTTCCACAGATTCCGCGCGGAGTCCGGGTAGACTATTGTGCTGCAAAAAAGCTCACAGGTGATTGATTGTGCTCTGCCTCTGGGGATGGGAATCCGCGTCCTGCAATCTTTATAGGTCAGAAAGACCTAAGTCTAGCTGTGCATCAGAATCGTTGGAGTGCTGGTATTATTAATACAGATTCCGGGACTCCCACCCAGCGTTACAGAAGCGGGATATGACTGGGGCCTCGGATTCCGAATGTCAAAGCTGTCCAGCCCTGCTTGGGACTTGGAACTTATTCCACCCTGGCCTTCTCACCTGTCGGCCCATTTAAGCGGTAATTCCGAGATGTCCCGACAGGGGGAGCAGGGGCGCCGATAATGGCTTCCGGGTGAGTAGATGCAAGGAGGGCGGGGCGTGGGGTGACCCGGAAGTTGACGGCGGGATCCGCCCCTGGCACGGGGGAGGCAGGATAGGAACGGCCCACTAAGCTGCCACCGCCGTTCTCGCCTTCTTCGCTGACATCATGCTCCAATTCCTGGTGAGTGGAGCTGCCGAGAAGGAGGCCGGGGGCTCGGTTCAGGGCCCTCGGGGGCTCCGGGCCCCGTCGAGTCGACGTGGGTCCGGGGGCCAGGGCGTGGTCCCGCGGGCCCCCAGCCCCGCGCCTGCCCGTCGCCTCTCGGGGTGGGCTGCGGGGTTTTGTTTCTGCCTCGCTCAAATCCTCTGCCGGCATTTTTCTGCAGCCATTCAAATCCCTAAAACTTTGATATGTTAGAGCATGGATTTTGGGAGCCACGTACTTAACCTTGGGTGCCTGTGTCATCCTCGTGATAAAGCTTTTGGGTCCTTCTGTCTTTTCGTGACCGTCCCCCGTTCTGTTCTCCCGCCCCGATACGGGCACAAACCCCATCCGCACTCGGGGCCCTGCTGGTTGGCCTTTCAGAGGACTCAGGAGAGCCAGGAATAAACTCTAAATGACAACAGTAAGCAACCTCACGAGGCGCAGAAACACTGAGTCAGAGCTGGAGGCTTCTGGAGTCCCCGTCGGATCTGTTGTTACCGCTTCCAGACTTGGAGGACGGCTGGCTGCTGGCATGAGTCAGGCCCTGGTCTACAAGTGGTTTTTCCAAAGTGCTCATTTTAGGGGAAAGTGACTGTTACCATGACTAAACAAATTATTTCTCGGGGCTCTTTATTTCCCTTAAAAACGGGTTTCCTGGCAAAGCTCGGTGTATTTCAGATTGCCTGGTAAAGGTTTCAGGAGGTCTTGCCAATCAAATTTCCAAGAGAGAGTCTTTCTTTGGAATTTTTGTGCTTCCAAAACTTGATGCTTTCTACCTCTCATAAGAGGCAGGTATTATAATATATTCCAGGTGGTTAATGGAGATCTGCTGCTATGGGGATGAGATGCTTTCTCAAATGTTATATTCTTTATCGAAGAGATTACGAGACAATGCCGCTGCTGTTCTTTTTGAGATGGTAATTGATTTTTGAATTCTCTAGGCCAAAAGAGGGTCTCCTTCACATAAATTGCCCAACTAAGACGGCCGCTCCTCTCTCTCTGGAAGTTTCTCCAGTGTCCTAAGTAGGTATTAGTTTAGGAGTAACAGATAATTACTGCTCTTTAGTTGTAGGAAACAGTTTAAGAACAGTATCAGTTTGCCCCACAGTGTATAATTGAGTGTCAGACTCCATCTGCAGCTCATTGAGAAGGTGGGAGGGAGGACATTGATTCAGTTACACTTCACTATATAAGTGCTTTTGCAGAGTGAGTTTATTTGGTTTTGGAATAAGCTTTTGCTGTGTATAAATAGGGAGTGACTGGTTTGTGAATTCAGAATTCTCAGCATTTAAGGAGAGAGGCTGAAGCCGTTCATTCAGTTCCTAGCCCAGACATAACTGTGGCCCTCTGTTCTCACTGCACCTGTTGAAAGAAGTGGCTAGAATTACTTTTCACCTGGATTCTCCCTCTGTCCAGTGATCCACCAGCTCTGGGAACTCGGGCAAGTCTTTGTTTGCTTTTAGCCGTTTCAGCTATAAAACAGTGGGGCTGATGGAGACGATCCCTAGGTCTCCTTTAGCTTTTACCCTGTGACCAGCTGTCATGTCCTAGTGTTTATGAGGTCAGACTCCTGGGTTTGAACCCCAGCTCTGTCACTTCTAAGCTGTGGGAACATGGGCAGTTTATTTAAATGCTCTGTGCTCCAGTTTCCACATCTGAAAGGGGAAGCCTGTCTCATGGTTTTGTGAGGATTAAAAACGAATTAACACATTGAAGTACTTACAACTGTGACACTTAATAAGCATTCAGCTCTGTTCAGTTTCTCATCAACAAGGTATCAGTAATTCTAATTTAGTTCCTTCTCAGAAATGGGGGTTAGTTTACCCTCAGACGTGCAGGTGAAGGGAAGGGTTTTGGCAGTGATGGGAGAGTCACAAGTTAAACATGGGCTTTGGAACCCTCCAAGATGTGTCCTGCAGTTGTCATTTTCTGGGACACTGTTTGAAATGCACTGCCCGGGATTGTGTTGCTTATAGATTGTTCGTTCCTCCCTGGATTAAAATACTTGCCCATCGTCCCAGTCCTGAGAGCTTGTTCCTCAGGCCCTGCTGCTGCTTTCTTTCCTCTTCTTGCTGCTGCAGTAGCTCCTTAATTACAGTGTATGGGGTTGGCCGAAAAGTTCGCTTAGTTTTTTTCTGTACATGGGTCTATTAGTGCTTAGTTCTCTTTAACTTCATTTGAAACAATTTTGTTAGATTGTATTGTGACAGCTGTCATATCAGCGTGCATTTAAAAAAAACTTATCAAAATTGGTGAATTTTTGTGCAGCCATTTTAATATTGAAGGAGGAAGAAGATACGCAACATTTTCTGTGTATTATGCTTTATTATTTCAGGAAAGGTAAAAATGCAACTGGAACGCGAAAAATTTGTGCAGTGTGTGGAGGAGGTGCTGTGACTGATCAAACATGTCAAAAGTGGTTTGTGAAGTTACGTGGCACTATTGACATTTTGGCCAAATAATTCTTTGCTGTGGGGCTGCCTCACGCATTGGAAGATGTTTAGCAGCCCCCGGGCCTCACCCACTAGAAGCCAATAGCGGGAGAGAGCCGACATATTCGAAATACCCAAACCAAAAAAGTTATTGGTGAAAATGAAAAATGCATCTTTTATTTTATGGAAAAAATGTAACACGTTTTGGCCTCCCCAATAATTTAGCTACAGTTGTCAAGAAACGTAGAGCTTTGGAAGAGAAGCCCGACGTGACGGGCGCTGCTGGGGGCCCTGTGTACACTGCCTGCCAGAGTGTCCTGGGCCGTGTGCTGCTTTCTTTACCTCTCGAAGCGGTAGCACCTGGTACTCCTGGAACCTCCTCTTGAATCCCTTCTTCCTTGCCCTTTGGATCCTGCATCTCAGTACTTCCCGACATCCTTTCAGGTTATGACACACGTGGGTTTATTTTTATGGAAGAATCTGTACAGAGTGGGGGGCCCTCCGAGGGCAGAGGGGCTCATGTCTTGGGGCGCCACTTGGGAGATAGCCCTGTCTCATCTTGTCTGTTTGTAGTGGCCGTGTTTCCCTTCTTCTGGGTACTGGGTGTTTCTCAAGGCTCCATCCTTGACTCTCTGCTCTTCTCTCAAACCCACCCTATGGGCGTGTGTTCCTTGTCACCTTCACCTCTGTGCTGACAGCTTCTGAGCTACCTTGAGCCCTTTTGTCTAAAGAGTTCCAGTTCCCGGGCATCAGGCGCCTACTGAACGTCTCTTGTCATGTCCTCTATCTCAGACTCTACGTGCCTGGACCCATTACCTCTTCCCTACCCTGCAAACCACACCCAACTTCTTTCTTTGTTCCCTGGTCCCACTTTCTAAAATTTGAACTATTCACATAATCCTATTTTTCCCCCCTCCTTCATTCTCTATGCCATCTAGCTGCTATGCCTGGTACATATATTTACCTGCTCTGTAATCTTGGGCAAGTTACTTAATTGATCTGTGCCTTAGTTTCTCCAGCATAAACTGGACAATAATTGGACCTGCTTTGTAAGATTGTGAAGAGCTTGAATGCACACAGTAAGCATTCAGTAAATGTAGCTATTGCTTTAAGCCATCAAGTCTTCATTACTCAGATTATGGAAAGTTCTGTCTATATGTTCCCACTGCCAAGTTTGTAGAGCTGGGTTTTTTTTTTTTTTTACACCACCTTTGGATGAGCTACACTAGCCTACCTGATGTGGAAGTGTAGGTTTTGAGTTGGAGGAGGTGTTTTAGGTTCATCCAGCTAACATGCGGAGGCTTCCGTCTCTACTACGAAGACAGCCAACTTATGGTTGGTCACCTCCAGTCACAGCAGGTTCACTACTCCCACAGGTCATCACTTTAATTTTTGGTCAGCGTCTCCTTACTTAGTCCTACTCCTTCAAGTTAAAGAGCAGTTCTAACCTATGTGACAACCCTTCACATATATAAAGAGCATGTCTTTGTCCCTCTCACCATCCCTCACCTACCCCATCAGTCTTTTCTTTAAGCTAAACATCTGTTTCTCCCACCCATTCTTTATGGCTCAGGTTCAGGCTGGTTGTCCTTCTCTGAATAGTCTAGTTTTGAATTCTTTTTTTTTTTTTAATTTTATTTATTTATTTTTAGAGAGAGAGGGGAAGGAAGGGAGAAAGAGGGAGAGAAACACCAGTGTGTGGTTGCCTCTCGCATGCCCCCTACTGGGGACCTGGCCTGCAACCAAGGCAATGTGCCCTGACAGGGAATCGAACCAGCAACTCTTTGGTTCACAGGCCAGTGCTCAATCCACTGAGCCACACCAGCCAGGGCCCTAGTTTTGAATTCTTTTTTGAATATGCCACTTCCAATGTGGTTTGAGCAGCCAGCCTCCAGCAAGGCTGTCGCCTCTAGTTCTGTGCGTGCTTCCCATGATGCCCGTGGATCTGTGCTCTTGGAGCTGCTGGAGTGGTCACCCAGAATTAATGGCCTGTCCGCACGCTCAGAAACTGTCAGTGTCCCGTTGTCCTTCCACATCAAACGTAACCATCCGGCCCCACTTTCCTTTCCCACTGCCCGACAGCGCACATCCTCTGTTTTGGGTTGGCTGGGCTAAGCTTTCCAGTCCTTACCAGCCTATGGACCATCTTGCCTTCATAGTTTCTATGTGGGTTTTTTTTGTTTTGTTTTGTTTTTTTACCTTTAGCTCCTTTTTTTGCCTTCCCAAACACTCTTAATGGCCCAACTCCCATCTTTTTTCACGAGCCTTCTGGTGACTAAGTTCCTGAAGTCTTTACACTTTTCTGATCCATGTCTCCATTTATTTAGGTCATGCATGTCTTGCATCATTTTTAAAAAAAATCATCTAAGTAAAATAGTCTTGCCCCTGGTTAGTTACATTTATGTCTAGGTGCTTCTGAGTTTTGTTGTTGTGAGTGGCATCCTTTTTAAAATTAAATTTTCAAGTTGTTGCTGATGTATGGAAATGCAGGTAGTTTTGTTGTACTGATTTTGTATCTAACATTCTCGCCTACCTTTTAGCTATCTC